TTTAAGAAAGGAGTTTGGCTTCAGACATTTTAGTTTATAATTTAGAGAGACGACTGTATTCCATCCTGAACTGAAATTAGCATGGGACTGGCTGAAAGATGGGGTATACTTACCAGAGAAAGGATAAATCAAGGTCCTACCAAAAACAAAGGCATTAATTATCATCCTCTTTATGGCATACCCTTGCCCCTTCTGCTCCCTCCCCCAAAAAGCACATCAAAATACGGCCCAGCCATCGTTCCCCTTATGCTGACGGGTGTGTGGTGGTTGACCTAGTTATCTTTGCCTCAGAATAAACTCAGTCGTGATTACTGTCAATCCCTTCACCTGAGAGAACTAAGAACGATGGAGACTATATCTGCAGTGTGGAGCAAACTCTTCTGTTCCCAGGTTTTGCATCCTGACAGCTTGAAATTTGGTGTTGAAAGCATAATGAAGTTTGATGGCTGTTTTGTGGTCTTTTGAATGTTGTCTGCCTCTGCACGTTCTGTGAAGACAGTGGTATTGTAATTTGGTAACATTATGTAGCATCAATGATTTAAAGGGGTGGGAGACATACAACTTAGGTGGAACAGTGATAAAAATCTTTTCCCATACATCATCTAAAGGTGACATATAAATAGGTATCTAGTCAGCTAGTTGCACTGCAGTTTTATTTGAAATTTCCCATATATTAAGGGTAAGTCCAGAAAATTATACTTGTTGAATAAATTGTCAGGTTGATACTAATAGCCCTTTTTTAAAAAAAAAAAATACCCTACTTTTCCAACACAGGATCAGTTCCTTGAGTGACTCCAGGAAAGTCAGGGGTTGCTTGAAAACAACCCAGAAATACAATTTTTGAGACATCTGCAAATACGCTTTTGTTTGTCTAATGAAGACGGGTTTTTCTCATCCCAAAGCAGAAAGACTTGAAGGTGAACTTAAAAGAGAGTTGGGCAAAAGTGCTGTTTTTCAGTGTTAACGTATGTATCCGCACCTAAACATCTTAATTCTGTGTTTGATCAGTTCTGATATTTCCAGTACCATGTTGTGAAGAATATATTCATCTTTTGTGCCGTTGAAGAAACACTATGATTGAAATTGAAGCATGTAGTCTCCTTGTGCCTGTTTTCATTGTGCAAACAAGTTTTAGTTTCCGTTGTGATTGCTGATCAAAGACTTAGTTCAGGGGCAGCACGTAATGACTTTTAACAAAGTCCTTCAGCCTGCTCCTGCCTTCTCTCCCACCCTCCCTGTAGCATGAAATATGCAAAGCCTGAAAGAAGTCCTTTTTTTTTTTTTTTTTCCCTCCCCTCACCCACTCCCTTTATTTAAGAAAGGAGGAGGAATGAGATCTCTCGGATGCTAGAAGTCTGAGAAGTACAGAGTACCTTGATGTAGAAGGCAAAAGGAGGTAATGAGAAAAACAGTGTGGGATAAAATTGATGAGCTTATAAGGGAAGAGCAAGCTTGGGTAAAACACAGAAATCAGAAAGGATCCTCAGAAATAGAAATGTTATTGTGGAGATGCAGGAGTCTCGACAGAAAGCGGAAGTGGATGGTGAATGGTTGCTGGATATGGAGCAAACCTGAAAGGATAGACCCAAAAAGAATCTGTGAAGGGGAGAAGATGAAGAGCAAGGTGTATGTGTTACAGGATTAACGAAGTGATCTTCCCTTGGGGCAGGTTCTTTTTTTTCCTGCTTTTTCTGTATAGATAACCTGAAAAAATTCCAAAGGGGAAATTTCTTTACTTTTTCTTCTTTTAATCTAAAAGCCTATTTCTACATGGGAAAGAAAGACATTTCAAACTGTATTTAGCTCATCTATTGCAAACTTGTTTCTTGTAATTTTAAGATAACTTGAAAAGTGTATTTTAACCAGTAAAAGCTTTTTACATAATTTACATTTGTTTGGCATCAAACTAAAGTAAACTGATTGTGTCTTCCTTAAAAAGAAGAAACAAACCTCTCGTGTTAGACAAGACTTCTCTGACCATTAGAAGTTTTTCTAGAGTATTTCTGTGGGTATCAGAAATCTCTGAGCTCTTGAACCTTGTTAAAAAACTGATTGTTTTTGAGCATTTGAAGAAGTCTGGGGTGATTTCAAGACAAGAGGTTCACAGCTGATTGCTATCAGGGGCAACAAGTAAAACAAAAAAAAAAGCATTTAGAGAACTGATGAAAGATCTCTTCCTTTCTCAAGTACATCTTTCATTTTGACTCTTGTGATGCCACTGCCTTACTGAATGTCTAGCTGAGAAGACAGGGCTTGAACTTCTGATTTTGAAAGTCCTTTTAGAGAATCAGCAAGCAATCTTATTTCCCCTTTTTGTGCTAAAAGGGGAGAGCAGGAGTATCTATGGCTTGTGACCAAAAGTGTTTTGAGAGATGCCTTATCCATGTAAAATTTCAGTAAACATTTGAAAGGGGAAAAGGAGCCCAGCCTTATGATACAGCAGTTGAAGTACTGCATTGAGATTCAGGCTGAATAACTTACCTTTCATTTCTTTTTGTGTTTAAATAAATATATTAGCAGTGATCTGATAACAGGTTGTTTCTGGTTCAGTCTGTGACAAAGTAATTTAAGAGTTTGTGTGTGGTTCTGTCTGAAGTGTTGAGTTGGTCATATAACAGAGAAAAGTAAACTGTCCTGTTTGTTGCCACAGATTGAAGAAGTCAGGCTTGTAAGAGGAGCTCCACATGGTATTACTCTGAAGTACCCCTCAAACTATTTCCACTTGAAATCTTCAGAAGCTGTGTCTGCCTGCTAGTTCTCTGGCAGATGTATGAGCATTTTTCCTACTCAGAAGTGCTTTGGAGTGCTTTCATTAAAATAAGTAATTATTGACTGCAAGAATCCGATTAGAAAGTGCAAAAAACAAAGAGAAAATTTAATTCACTCTCTTTTAACCAAAGTGGAAGTGATGTTCTTACATGAAAATACCTTTTCTGAAATTTCATCCAAACGTCTGCCTTGTGATGTTAGCGTAATAAAGTAGAGATCCTACTTCTGACTGTTAACTGCTTTAATTGGCTGTATTATGAAGCGTGGTGCAGAAATAGTGTTCAGGAGACAGTACCCATCCACTGAACAGCCTTGCATTTTTTGTTTATCTTTACACCCATTTAACTTGCTGCTAAGGTGCTTGCACTTGCAAAACCGGAAAGTCAGCCCTCCAAGAAAGGGTTTGCATTTGGGCAGCTGCTCACCGCCCTCAAGGGGAGGGAAAGCAGAGACCTGCAGAGAGGCGGTGAAGCAATGGTCTTCTGCTTGTGAGAGCAGGTCATGCTGCATCTCAAGTCCCTGACTTCGTGGCTCTTGGAGGTGCCAGGATAGAGGCTAGCAGGAGTAGGATCTACTTTTGAATAAAAAAATACTGTTGCTGTAGTAAGAGAGTGTGTGACAGTTACTGGATGGGGAAGGTAGTAAGCCTCAAAGTGATGTAGGAAATGATTGTTGCAGCAGATCTTGCTGCTGTTGAGTATCTCAGGGGAAATTTACGAAGACTTTGGGAAGATTTGTCTTTTAATGGGAATGGTTTTAAAAATGGGAATAGTTTTTAATAATGGTGCTGATGCAGCTTATCGATATGTTGCTGAACTACTTTGGGTTAAGGTGGAACCTCCACTCGGTGTAGCTAACTCCTAGTTAGTCCTTGCAGATATCTAGTTGCTGCTGCTTCTGGGTTGGATTATGACACTTGGTAGATGATAAATCTGATCCACTGTGCCTGTGTAGAATAAAGCTTTTTTTGTGATCTTGCCTTGGGATGAGAAAATTGTTTTTTGAGGACCTGACTTTGTTCTGTCTTGAATCATTATAATTTGGTGGCACTTGGTGCATATATCTAACTTGTTCTGCAAAGAGGTAACGTACTCAAAGCACCAGAAGGCTGGAACCACAGAATCTGAGTTATTTCAGTAGACGTTGTGGTTCTTCAGATTTTTGCTGAAAGACAAAGAGAGGGAGAAGGAATTTTCATAATAGTGACATGTCCTAAGCATTACTCCATGAGGTGATTCAGGAATTGTGTTTCACCAGCTGTTCACCAGGTTTCTGTTATTGCCATAATACACTACCTTTTTCTCTGTGTTACCCTACATGAATTATGAGGCAATGAAGCCAGCTGACTTTATTTATTAAAAAAAAAATTCTTATTCGCAGTCATGACTAATATTCTGGAAGGTTTTATATAATTTTTAAAAAGTTATTGGTTAAGCCATGTGGAAGACTGCCTCACGTGAAGCGGGTCTGTGCAAAGTGTTCTGCTGTCGCTTTTTATGATGTTTAGTGTTTGAAATGGGAGAAGCAAGAAAACTCATGCTGTAGCCAGTGGTGGTGCAGTTTGGCCAGTGCTTTGTCACAGGAAGATCAGAGGGCACGGTGATGTTGTTCTGTCAGGTACTTGATCGCACAGAAGCTGTGGAGTGGATGCTTACAGTTATAAAGTTAGATGGTTTCGTGGGAATTTTATTTGCTTTTTTGCAATGGCATCTGTTGTGATGGCATGCATCAAGTTACTCTTCTTACATTTTACTAAGACTTTAGTCAGACTTCAGTAAGGAAAAGAGGAAGATCTGTAGCAGTCTGTTTTATTGGTTGTGCTTGCACTGTATTAATGTAATTTTTTAAAAAAAACCCCTCTTAAAATTTTCCCTGTGCAATCTATGTTGAATTTTTTAAAAAACTGAGGACGTTTTTTCTCAGAGACTTCCTTGTTATTCAAGATGGGATGATCCCAGGAAATTCATCTCTTGTCTCAGTGCTGTAATTGCCCTGCGATACGATCTTGTGTTGAAATGGCATCTTTCCTCGAGATTAAACCTTCTGAGCTGCTGGATAGCATGAGGGTTTTTATAAAACACACAGATTGAAAGTTCACAGCTCTGTAAAAAGCACTTGAGTTACAGTGAGGAGGAATATTCCCCTCGCAGCTAATAAAATTGTCATAATTTCAAGGACACTGCCTTAGTGCCCTTAGCTAAAGCTCAGAGCCGCTGCTTGTGTTGGGCCTGATGGAGGACGAACAGCTAGATAATGAAAAATATAGCAGCAGGGTAACAGTGAGAAAGGAGAGCTGATACCTGGCGATAATTACATGTTAATTAAGGAGAAGAAGAGGGAGGCACGTAGATGTGGGATGTAAACGCTGTGGAAGAGACTGACAGAGAGGAAAGGAAAATGTGGGGGAGCTGATGGTCCCTGGGTCTCAGTGAGTACCCCTGCGGTGGCTTGCTGGAGAAGAGGGCGTCTGCAGGAGGAGCACATGGGGCTGTGTTTCTGCGGCATGCAAGATGCTGCTCGTCTTATCCAGCCCGTTCTGGGTAGGGTGATGCGGAGGTGAAGAGAGCCCCAGTCCTGCTGTCAACTTCACAGCTGGTTCCTGTTGGCAACAAGAGCGTTGACTGCTGGTGGAGCATCTTGTCTGTACATGGAGACCGTGTTAGAGGGCTGGAGGCTTTGCAGCCTGGCTCTTTGCAAGTCCACAGCAGGGCTGTTGAAACCAGGTGTCAGCTTCCTGCCTGTAACTGCACAAAAGGTGCTTAAAAAAAATGAAATTAGTATCACAGCGGTAACACCACACAGACCATATGATATATCAATCCATTTCATATACCCCAAAAGTGTACTGCAAATTCTGGAGATAACAAGCTTAATGTTATCTCCTACCTCACTTAATTTGATTTTATTTGAAAAATGTATTGAAGTGGATAGGGGGTGACTGAGGAAATGAACAGCATTACAAATAGACTGTTGCAAATGATCATGTTACCACAGCCTAATGAGTTTAGGCAGTGGGAATGGGCATAAGCTGCTACCTGGATGGTTTTCACTGATGTACTCTCTAATTGCAATCAGATAGAAATGAATGCCTTGTCAGCTGCTATTGTGCATCAAACTAGTAATAAATTAAGCCGCAGAAACCTAGTGTTTTGGGAGCATCCGCCAGTTCACATGCTTTTCTTTGGGCCTGCTACCATATAATGGTGCTAGTACCTGCCATAATGTCTGATACTTCTGTTTTAAAAGTGAGCAGCAGGGAAGGACTTGGATATTCTGTATGGAAATCCGGACTTTTGCACCAATACTTGGAGGTCAGTCACCTTTTTAATAAGTTCAGCAGTTCCCTAAGAATGCATGAGAAGCAGCTGTAGATGAGCTCTTGTAGGCATTACTGTGCAGCTGCAAGTGGCATTAAGGCAAGGATTCGTACAGCTGAGCAGCTCTGTGCTGCAGGTGGAGTAAGTATGGAAACATGACGGAGGTGGAGACAATTTTTGCCTTTCTGTTGCTTTTGCTGAAAGGAAGAAAGCAGGGAAAAATACTAGCCACCTTTATCTAAAGGATTGCTAGGCTTTTGCAAATGTATATTTGTTGTCTTTCATTTGGGAAGAGTGTTAATGTGTTCCACCCCATGTGTAATAACATCTCTGGGGGGGGCTGTGTGTTTGCAGACCTACATTGGTTCGATAGTTGCCTCTGTGAACCCTTACAAGAGCATCCCGGGACTGTATGACTGCACTGCTGTGGAGCGATACAGCAAGCACCACATGGGAGAGATTGCACCTCACATCTTCGCTGTGGCCAACGAGTGCTACCGCTGCCTTTGGAAGCGCCATGACAACCAGTGTATCCTCATCAGGTAAATGGATGCTGCTGCTTTGATCATTCCTGCAATGAGATGATTCAGGAGCGTGGGTTTTAGGCCATGTGGAGAGGAGGACTCCAAAAGAAAGCAGGCTTTTAAATCATTAGAGTTTCGGGAGAGAGTTCTGAACTCGCTCTGTATCATTCTGTGGACCTCTAACAAAATGTTAATTTTTCTTACACATCTTACTATTTAATTTAGTGAAAAAAACTATTATATTTTTGTGCATTTTTTGCTACTCTCCCATCTAATGTTACCAAGTGCTTTCCTCGCTGGTTATAAATGTTGTGTGCCAGCTCAGTAGTTTGTCACCACTAGACCCTGAACCCTGTATTGAGAGGAAAAGAACAAATAACCCACCAGTCTTGAGAAATGCAGTAAATAAGAACAGCAAAAGAGAAAACCCTCTACATTTCAGCCACTTAATTCTGCCCAATTAATCTTCCTTGCTTAATCTTGTTGCGCTTTAATTTAATGGTGATTTAATAGCTTCCCATTTGATCCACTGTGTCACTGGTATTCAGGATCTTGCTGCTGCCAAATCTACCTTGAGCGCAGCTGGCATTTCAGTAGCTTTTCGCTGCTTTCAGCTCCTCTTCCTCCTGTTCCAGAAGAGCTGAAAATGCAGCCAGCTCATTTCCCTTTCCCCTGCCTGCCAGCTCAGGTGCCTTGTCTTGCACGCAGGTGGGGAAACTGAAGCCTTGCCTATCGGATCAGGTAGAGGATCCTACCGGTGGCAATGGCAGTGCAGCACCAGCTATCGGGCTCCAGGTGGGAGTTGATGTTCAGGGCAGGGATGATGTGTGGAAGAGCTTGCATTTCCCTTCCCTCTCGTCTCTTGGCTTCCCAGTGTTTTTGTAATTAAACCTGTTTGCTCTTGCTTTCCTGCAGCACAAGTTAAGTGTGGAGAGCTCTTCAGACACAAGGTGACACAATTTTGTCTGTCTCCTGACCTCCAGGGGAGCCCTTGTGACAGCCATGGGACCATGGTGCAGGGCAGCCAGTGGGGCAGAGAGAAGATGAGGCAGAGTGAGAGCAGCACCTCTTGCAACAGGCAGTTTCTACTGGCATTTCAGATTACTGGCCAGTTTGCAAGGCTTCCTGAATAAGAGGAGGATTTGGTGGATGTAGTTCAGCACCCAAGCTGTTGTTAGAAATACGGATCAGATGCAACACAGCTAGGTCTTGTTCCAGCTTTCTGCAAGCTCTCAGGTCACAGTCCCTGCCTGCCCTCCCTTCCAGGAAGGTTCTGCCTGGCAGTGGCACAAAGATGGAGGGGGCTGAATGTGTTTTTCAGCTTTCTTCAACTATATTCTCTTTTTTCTCATTTAATACACAGTGTTGTGTATATATAAAGTTGAGTCGACGTAATGCTCCAAGAAAGAACGAAATGCACAGAGATCTTTGTTGTGCGCAAATGGCTGGCCTAGAGTCATGATTTTGTGTTTTAATGCCAACTAGTTACGTGTGAATGGCCCATGTAGCCAGATTTTGGGGACCAAACTAAGTTAGTTACGTGTGAATGGCTCATGTAGCCAGATTTTGGGGACCAAACTAATTTCTGGTGCTTAGCAGGTGGCTGTTGGCATTTTTGCCATTCTGTACTGGCCCAAGTGTTTTACCTTTCCTTCCAGTTACTCACAAGATGCCAAGAGAAAAGCAGGTTCAGTCCTAAAGAGGACATAAGCAGAAGTCTCTGATGCTCCAGGGGAGTCTGCTCTGTAAACCATGTGCCTTGGTACAAACAAGCCATAATATGGAGCAGTTTTGCATTAGCAGTCCCTTTTAAAATTGTTTACTGTGATCATGAATTAAAACAATGATTTGTATAAGTTCAGTGTTTCAGACAAGTGCCGCAATACAACCTTATAAGGTTATCTTGTTTCTAAAGAAATTGAAGGAACATGCAATTCAAATCAAAAAGTAAGTCAAATCTACTTTCCTAAAACAGTATTATCTCCTCTATCTGTGAAGTATGAAGGGCAGGATTTTTCAAAATTACTGAAGGTTTTTGGTGGCCCTCATGAGGTTTAGGAAAGTTCCTGTGGTCGTATACTTAGTTTGGGGCATCAGAAGTGTGCTCGTCATCTTCAGCGTCCTGGTCACTCCTGCATCTTTTACTGGCTCAGAATTAGATGTTACAACACGTCACTATCAGGCTTTCTTGGCTACTACTGGCGTTTGGAAAAAATGGTCAGGTGGAGCTCTGCAGAGTCTGATTTCAGCCGAATATTCTGGTCTTGTACTTAATATAAGAGGTGATAAAAAGGAAAATTTTGTTGCATCCCAAAACCATATTAAACAGTTAGATCCAGTTAAAATGAGTGAATTGTTATCTAAAAACTCAATAGCAAGGTTTGACAGCCCCGTGAGGTAAGGTAGCCAACACCTTTGATGATCCTCCGGGCTTGAAGTGCCCCCTGCTGGCACCCAGAATTAGTTCAGCTTTGGTTTGGAGCTACTTTCTCAAGGAATTGGGTTCAAAAACCCCTGAAAAAGCTTCTACTGTTTTGAAATGCTTCAGATATTTGTCAGGGTGGGATAAGATGACAGGGTTAAGGCAAGAACCTGAATTAAAAACTGTCATCAATAGTGACTCCAAATGTAATATAAATGCAAGACCATTTTTCCAGTATAACCACCCAGACCAGAAGTGAAAAGGAAGGAAACACTGAAGAGATTATATTAAATGGAGTCATCCAAAGATGCTTATTTCTTAGTCTATGATACACTGACTTATTTAGTTCATGATAATGCTGCATAAAAATGACTCGGTAGCCTAAAATGTCAACAGAATTGCACATTGAAGAAGCTGTGTACAACCTGTGCATTGGAATATTTAAACCATTGTGAAATGGTACTTTCTCTCTCCCAGGCTAAATTGCTTATCTGACTATTGAACTAGTTTTCATGTAGACAAAAATGTCTGCATCAATGAATGCTCAGTGTTGAGTTGATCTGTACCTTACCGCAGTAGTCCAGTTTCATTTAAAACAGAAAAAAAAAAAAGCCACCACAGTGTAATCTGATGCTACAACAGATATGTTAAAAAAAAAATATTAACATCTTATGATTTTTCAGCTGGGTGCCTTGGCAGGAGCATGAAGGGAGTCCATCTTACTCAAGCAATAGCCAAACACCTCGTCCTGAGGTAGGGAAAAGGGACTGAGCTCCCCTATGATTAGCTGATGTTCACAAGTTGGGACCAAGTTTAAACCTCCACCCCTTTATTGTAAGAATAGGGAAATACCTTTAGGTGGGTTTTTTTATTGCTGCTCTGTTTGTTTAAGGTGGTCTAGTCCATGCACAAGCAAACACATGCTCTTCCCTCAGATACAGTAGCAGTTGATCCACTTTAAGGCACTTGAAACGAAGTGCAGAGCAGTTGAAGGAGCAGCAACAGTCACCCTGAATTACATTCAGGTCAATGCCACGAGTTCTCTGTTATGGTCTGATGGCCTAACATTGTTGTTCACCTGGAAAATCAGGGTGAACCAAAGTACTCTTTGGATGAGACCCAGAGTTGTGATGGGAAGAGGTTCTTATGAGACTGACATACCAAAATTCGCATGTGTGTCGAAGAACTGTTACTTGCTGAAGAGGCCTATTTTGTTGATGTGTATCAGTTTGGGGGGTTTTAAAGCCAGGAGACAGAACTGAGGTGATTTAGAGTAGCGTTGATACCGCATCACTTGCGTTATGTCTTTCAGAATGAGGAGTCTCTCTTAGTAAACCCCTTTTTCCACAGCAGCAGTCTGGAGTCCAGGTTGCTGTGCCCTTTACGAGACGCCCTCTGTAGAACTAGTCATGAAGAAAGTCTAAAGGTCTCCTAAGTGAGGGCCTTGTGGGTTGCTGTCACACTTAATAAATTCACAGTGATGAATGTAGTGATGTGGAACGAGATGGGCACTTAAACTCATGGGGTGGAAAGGCTGCTGGAAAGGTTGCCTGTGCAATAAAAAATTCAACATTTTACTGACCTTGACAACTCCTTGTAGGTGTAGGCTTTCTAAGGAGTCTGAAAGATTGATCCCACCTAACCTACCATTAGTGTATGTACTGTAGCGTTGAATAAACAACTTTAAAATTTAGTATGCTTCTTCTTTATTTTCATGTCATTAATAATAACTGTCTTTTATAAAGCCTTCTGTAAAAGAAAAATGCAAACCAAATGATGCACGTAAAATAATGGGTCCCAAGCTGAGCAGTACCATGTGGGGGTGAGATCTTGCTGTCATGCCAGAGGGCTTCAGGAGCCCATCCACTCAGTGCTCAACAGTAGAATCACTTAGGTTGGAAAAGACCCTTAAGATCATCAAGTCCAACTGTAAACTTAACGTGGCCATGTCCACCACTAACCCATTTCCCTATAAACCACATCTGCACATCTTGTAAAGACCTGCAGGGATCGTGAATCAACCACTTCCCGGGGCAGCCTGTTCTCGTTTTTGACAATCCATTTGGTGAAGAAATATTTCCTAATAATCAATCCAAACCTCCCCTGGCACAACTTGAGGCTGTTTATCACTTGTTACTTGGGAGAAGAGACCGACACTCACTACAACCTCCCTTCAGATAGGTGTAGAGTTATAAGGTCTCCTCTCAGCCTCCTTTTCTTGAGAGTAAACAACCCCAGTTCCCTCAGCCAGTTCTGATAAGACTTGTTCTCTAGTCCCTTCACCAGCTGCATTGCTCTTCTTTGGACATGCTCCAGCACCTCAATGTCTTTCTTGTAGTGAGGGGCCCAAACCTGAACACAGTATTTGAGGTGCAGCCTCACAAGTGCTGAGTACAGGGCGACCATCACTTCCCTAGTTCTGCTGGCCACACTATTAAGTCGTAAAAGTAAATATAATAAAGCGATTCCTAGTAAATTAATAGAGAACATTGGGTAAATCCGTCCTGTGCTCATGTCTTGAGTGTTTTGCACAAACCTTTTTCCACCTTGCTTGATATCCTGGAGGACTGTGGAACTGGAGGTGGTTCAGAGGAGAGCAAAAGCAGTGATCAGAAGTATAGCATGACTGTGTATGTGGGAATGACTGATGGAGATGGGCAGCTCAAATTGGTGGGGCTGTCCATGAAGTCATGGATAGCAGAGAGAGGAAGCACAGGGATGAGTTATTGGCTGCTCCTTCCACTACAAGAAATAGGGGTCATCAAACAAAGCTAATAGGGGGCATATCCAAAACACAACATGTTCATCTGGTTTTTTTAGGGGACATGGCTAGAAACTCATGGAAGATAAATTGATTGAGGGTTACAAGACACACAGAAACCAGGTCTAGATCAGTAACCCTCTAAACAGCAAATGTCTGGAAGCTAGAACACAGAAGGGAAGTATCACACATGTTCCCGGGGCATCTCTGTTTGGTGACTGTCAGAGACAGGACACTGGGCAGGTAGATCTTCATCCTGACCCAGCTCTGAGCCTCTCCTGTTGTAAGAAAAAATCAAGAGTAACTGCACATGATACCAACTGTACCAGAGATAAACACAGGAAATACTTTTTCATCAGCTCTGAATAGCTCACTTGCAGAATTGCTCTTGATTACAGTGGGGTAACTCAGCTTCTGTAGAACTACAGATGCTCCAGAGCATAGGACAGGGCCAGGGGGCAGAAAAAGGATGGTGTCAGTGAAAGAGCTCACGTCCTCCTTGGCACCCAGATCCCTGCTGTTGAACTATGCACTGCTCAGAGGGTGAGAATTTAGGCAGAAAGTGATTTTTTTTGCACCAGACAGAGAAAATGGAAGCATTTCTGAAGGTCTTTCAAAACTAGTAGAAGAACTGTTTTGCTAATCCTTTAGTGTACAAGGGGCCAGTGTTAAATATGGGGAATATTAAATATTTGCTTTGTTGTCAAAGAAGCATGAGTAGGTGAGTGCCTGCAAAGAGACAGGGAACAATTACCAGAAAGTCTGGAAGTCAAGGGTAGAACTAAATTTAAAAATTCTACAAAGGTTGAGATGGTGGAAGTATGATGGGTGAGTCATACTTGTTGGAACTTATCAACAGGTAGCGTATGGTGAGTAGCACTCTGGTGAAGTTCCCGCAGACTGGAAAAGGGGAAACATAACCCCCATTTTTAAAAAAGGAAATAAAGACCTGGGAAACTACAGGCCAGTCAGTCTCATCTCTGTGCCTGGCAAGATCATGGAGCAAATCCTCCTGGAATCTATGCTAAGGCACATGGAATACAAGCAGGTGATTCGTGATAACCAACATGGCTTTACCAAGGGAAAATCATGCCTGATGAATTTGGTGGCCTTCTACGACAGGGCCACAGCACTGGTGGATAGAGGAAGGGCAACTGACACCATCTACCTGGACTTGTGCAAAGCCTTTGACACAGTCCCACATGACATCCTTGTCTCTAAGTTGGAGGGACATGGATTTGACGGAAGGACCACTCACTGGATAAGGAATTGGCTAGACGGCCGCATTCAAAGAGTTGTGGTCAATGGCTCAATGTCCAAGTGGAGACCGGTGACAAGTGGTGTTCCACAGGGGTCGGTAGTGGGACCAGTGCTGTTTAACATCTTTGTCGGAGACATGGACAGTGGGATTGAGTGCCATGCTGCTTCCTCAGGCTGTACCTTTCTTGTTTGCTTTTTACTAGAAAACATCATTATCCTTTGCTGTAACCTAAAATCCACCAGGGTCACCACTCAGAAATGGCACAGCAAAAGACTGGCAAGTGAACTAAGCTTGCTCCACATGCCCAGTGGTGTTCCATCGAAGTCATGGACAAAACTCCTGCTTGCTACAATGAAAAGCATAGAATAAGACCAAAATGTACCTCCTTTCTTTAGGAGTAAACTGGAATTAGGCAGAGTTTAGTGAGGAATTGGGAAAACGAGGAATCGGGCTGCAGTTTAGGATAAAATGCTATGACTTCAGATGAAAAGTAAGCAAACTAGACAAACGTTAACCATAAGCTATGTTTCTTAATGGCTCACTGTGTGTTTTTAATTATAAAGCTACCTAATTGAAGGGAAATTATATTGGGCAAATGAGCCAAATTTATACTTTCCCTTTTTAGGCCATTTTTATTGGAAAGAAATCAAGTGTATTTCTTTTCTATTTGTATCACTGGGATTGCTTGTTAACAGTTTGTTTTTCAAATGTCAGTTTAGCATTATCAAATAGCTTTGTTCTGCTGTGGGTGAAGATGAGAAGTTTTACATCTCTGATGGTGATGAGAGGTGAAAATTGTATATTTTGAACTCATATAGAATCATAGAATCATTAAGGTTGGAAAAGACCTCAAGGATCATCGAGTCCAACCCAACACCACCTAACTCACTGAACCATGTCCCTAAGCACCACATCTACACGTTGCTTGAACCCCTCCAGGAATGGTGACTCCACCACTTCCCTGGGCAGCCTG